AGAAGAATGAAAAGTTTTGGAATAGCCTAGAGCAGTTTTTAAAAAATGTTCTTAATAGATAATTTTTTTATTCTTTCAATATCTGAAGATATTGAAAGCAAAAATGAAATTATTGTTGAAGGAATCAAAAGGAGTTGGAAATTGAGTTTTGCAAAGGTATTTCCACAATTTTGCAAGAGGCTATAGGTAGAATTTCAGGCTATATTCCTGAATCAGATTCCTGTGAGTGCTCTGTGTTAGTTATATTTACAAGTATTTTCCCAGTCTCTATGCATAAATGCAATACTTGTTTTGTAATCAATTTAGTTCAGCAACAGTGTTCTTATCAATTAACATTTTTTTGTTCTATGACATTTGCATCATGAATTGCCTGGGGACAAAATTTTTTTCATTTACTTATTCAGATCTTTCATTTACTGCTTTTACAGTTCTTATTTATCTGCAAAAGGCTAACACACTATTGTACCAAATTGCTTGAGTCTCCAGACATCATAGTTAATTACAGCACTCAGAAAGGACTTCAAAAGAGACAGAGAGACAGAGGGCACATTAATTGGGACATAGTATCACAATATTTTTCTAAAAACTACCATCAAAGTAGCTGCAGGTACCAAAACACATTAAAATTCTCTAGAAGATATGATGGACTTTTTACTGTGCAGTGACATGAGATTGTTAAAAGCTGGATGCAGAAAGAAGACTACCAGGTGTATGAGAAAAGGTCTTTAGTATGTGCAGGGAGACAATCTCTTACCAGTATAAGTGTTTGTGCACAAAGGGGTTGGGGGAGCTTATGGGACTTCTAAACAAAGTTACTCTATATTTATTTTTCATTGCTGAGATTGTTCATCTCCTGGCCCTTGGTAAGGATTGTTTGAAAAAGTTCAGTATTTGATTTAAATGCAATGATTATTTTGGATACTTTTACTACAAAATCTTCACGTACATTCAAGTTCTCAGAGAAAAATGCCAAGTTATTGTCTCTTCTCTGGGCCTTTATATTTCTATTTTCAAGTAGTCTGGCACCAGATTTTAGTTTCTTATTCTTCCTTAGGGTTCAATTCATTGCTCTTCAAAGTATTTCATTGCTCTTCAGAAGTCAAACAAAAAGAAAAAATATTGCTAAAGATTGCCATCTCTTTGCTAACATTTATGTTACTTTTCTCTAATTATTTCTCTGTAGAGCTTTCCCAAGAATCACAGGGCATTGAAAGAAAACCCACAGCTCAAATGATGGAGAATTTACTTCATATGTACTCTTAGGCAGCCACATGAGATTTTTGGCATTTCATTCAGACTTGTCCATAATTAGTTTTTTGTGTCCTCTTCATATTGTTTCATTCCCATTAACATCCATACTAGTAACTTACCATTAGTCATGTCCCTGACTCCTTTGTGCTGCTTTGCTAAGATTCTGCCTCATTAAAAAGTCAGCACTTTGTCTCTTTTCTTGGCTATAGATCCTTCCTACTCCTATCAACTGAAATTCCTTTCTTCTTCTTCTTCTTCATATTGCCAGCCTGCTAGTAAATTGCATTGTTTCTGCATTAACTCCTGTCTGGTTCTATATGAATGTCAAGAACTGTGAAGGCTCTGAGTTTTTACTCTACTTACAAGGTAACAAGTTATCCTAACACAATTTATTGGATATTCATAGTGCTTTACATTTATTACTGTTGCTCATACTATTCATTTAAGTTGGGTCATTTCATTTGAGGTCAGTCACTGGGATAGGGCCTCAGATTCCGAGCTCCAAACAGAAAAGATGCACATGTTCCCTGGCATTTTGTATGCTTTGCTTTAACTTCCTTTCCCTTGGTTAATTTGGAGAGGAATGTTAATGTGATAGTACATTTTGTCTTCATAAATCAACCCCCTTCTTGGCACGAGGGTTGTCGCTCTTGCTGAAATATTTGCCATATATTCCACTACTACTAGAATGATTAATACAAGGGGCATATAATCAATAAATGCTCTTTTCATCCTCCCTAAAACCACATCCTTAACCCTTCTGTTTTCATCATTGTATTTGTAGGCACCCATATTGGTAATATATGAAGCCCAGATTACATATTATACCCCTTATTTTCTTCCTAGATAACCTACAACTTGGATTTCTGAATGTCGGGACACTAACTCTATTTCCTAAACATTGTCAAAAACTGCCATGGTAATAAATCCAATCCCACGCTTTCTTGTCCACAGGGTATAACAAAGCTGTGGCCTATGAACTGACATCTGAATTGTTGCTGTGTTATTTTATCTGGTATCTCTTTCTTCCAGCTATACTTCTCACAGTACTCCAAACTACCTCCAGTGTTGGGGCTGAGTGTAATTGGTACTGTATTATGCCCTGTTTACAGACAAGAAAAGGAAGGCACAAGAGGGTAGTTCTCTAAGGTCATAAAGTTAGTGATGAGAGAGCTGGATTTCAGCCTATAGCCATCTGCCTCTATCGTCTATACTCATAACTGCTTCACTTTCCTGCCTCTTCAACTTATTGGCATATGAGAGTTATAGGTAATAGATGTTGTTACAGATTCATACTAGGGTAATAGAATTAGAGTTTGTGGAGGAGTAAGTTTCAGCCGACTCTTGAAATAGGGAATAGGTTTGAATATGTAGAGAGTAGAGAGCATTTCAAGGAGGACAAAATGAGCAAAGGTCCAAAGATGAGACTAAAAAGAATATGTTCAGAGGATATGGAAGAGATTGACTTGGCTCTAGAGAAGTAATAAATAGCTAATGAAATTGATTTGTACTCAAGTTTATCCATTAGAACTTTATTGGAAAAAAAACAGTTTTTTCCTCAAAGTTTTTAGATTAATTATGTTATTTTATTTTTTAAAAAGATCTTATTTATTTATTTGACACAGAGAGAGAGACAGCTAGAGAGGGAACACAAGCAGGGGGAGTGGGAGAGGGAGAAGCAGGCTCCTGGCTGAGCAGGGAGCCCGATGCGGGGCTTGATCCGAGGACCCTGGGATCATGACCTGAGCCGAAGGCAGATGCTTAACGACAGAGACACCCAGGCGCCACTAATTAAGTTATTTTAAAAAAAATACTTATTGATTGGGAATACTGATTCGGGTTTCAGATGGAAGTACATTTGTAAGGAAATAATAGAATAAAATAGTCTTAGACTTTTTTCTTAATCTGTTCATTTTTCTTGAGCTAGTTCTGTCCACACCAGCATAATTTGGTTAGTTTAACTTGTGATGAAATTGGTCCAGCAGGAGGAATTGGATGTATGTTGAAATTCTGCCAGATTTGGAAGAAAAATGTTATTTTAAGCATTCTGGTCATTTTTGGTGGAGTGTAGGTTTTACCATGAAGTTGTCATTGGCAACTTTTCAGACCACTAAACATGGCTTCCTTATTTACAAAAACCACAAACACACACACACACACACACAGCAAACACTACAAATAATGTGAAAACAAGTAACTCCGTCAAACAGATGTCATGCTTACATAGCCTAGTAAAAATAAGAAAGTTGACTGAGATGGGAAGCTGATACCTTTTCTAAGTTTGGTGAATGAAGAAATCTTGAATTCTTCTTTGAGATTTGTAACTAATTTACCACGCATGCTTGAATTATGCATAAAGTAAATCACTCACCAATATATGTATATTCATTCATTTGATCTATTTACAAATTAGAATAGATGGAAAGATCAGGGAGATAAGCTGACCCCAAAGGTTAGGAACTGAAGAAGTGTGGGAGGTATGGATTGGTATGGGTGCGGCCAAGTGGGAATTTCTCTGTGGAATCCTTTGCTTTGATTTGTGTGAATGAGCAACTTGTGATGACATTAGGAATTTTAATTCACTTTTCCAGACTAGAGAAGCAAATGCCTTTATAACATTCTATTTAAGACCCTGGATTTGCAGTTATTCAGTAACTTTTAAAAAAATCATCAAAAATGACATTAAGGATTATTTTTTCCAAGCTAAATTTTTATCAATGTAATGTCATTTCATATAGTGCCTCACCTACTCAGAAGTTTAATTTGTACTAGATTTTGGGGGGACTTGTTAAACCTAGGTTTGTAGCTATTTTGGAATTGGGGCTATTCCTAAACTGTGTACAAGGTTTTACTTCATCTGCAGTTGACTTTACTTGTTTTTTAAATGCTTGCAAAGTCCTCTGTTGGTACTGTGTCAAACCATTGTTGAAAATACTTTCTTGATAAAATGAGTGTAAACAATAGCAAAAACCAAATTCGAGCTGACCTTTAAATACATCTACATTTAAAGGCTAAAGCCAAGGACTTCTAAATATTTTCATCCAAAGAACTCTTTGAAATGTAGCTAAAGGAAAGTTTATTTTCTAAATCTTAAAACTTAGGAAAAAGATTCAAACTGTGATTGGTTTTAGCCCACTGATCAGGATGACTGTGGCCACTTTCTCATCTAGGATTTATTGTTCATCCTTTCCTTACCTTAAAGTTTCAACTCTCCATGAATTCTTTCCTGGGAAGAACATATTAGCTTATGATTCCAGCTCCAGCACAATTTTGGCTGACCTGTATAAATGACCACAGTAAACCATTTGAGCCTTAGGCTTTTGCTGCTGTACAATGAGACTCTTCATTATTTAACATGTTGCCATTTCCAGCATGTGCTCTCAGTGCCATGTAGGTAAGCACATGCCTTTGAGGTCTCCAGTCCAGCAAAACTGAGTAGTATACAGGGTTCCCCACCCCCCATATTAGAGTGTAGGGTAGGAGGGCTAGAAGATAAGGAGTACTGGCAAGGACATTGAGAATGTTAGCTTTATAATTATGAGTGACGTATAGTTTTACATACTTGACTGCCTATATTTCCCATCTTAAATAAACGGGTCAGCAAGTGAATTTGAACCAGAATTCATTTTTTTTTCCCATCCTTACAAAATTGTCATGAACATTTATTAGGAAAAATAAAATAGCATTCATTTAACTAAGAAAGCATTAAATCTTAGTTACTAATGTCTCTTCCCTTCTTCCCTTTATAGATGATGCATGTAACTGCTCTGTGGCAGGAAGCCTGGACGTGAATCGCTGCAACCAGACCACAAGGCAGTGTGAGTGCTGGCCACCTTATCAAGGGCTCCGTTGTGACACCTGCAGGGATAGCTTTTACCTGAATCACACTTCTGGGCTCTGTCTGCCGTGTGACTGTAGTCCACACGGAGCCCTCAGCGCGCTCTGCAGCAGGTAAGCAGCAGTGGGTGGAGGTGATGCTATTTTATCAAGAAAAAGAAAAGGCTCTTGCTCTCAAGGACCAGAGTGGTTTAAATAAAGGGGGATGAGGGGGCATAGATTCATAAAATATTTCATACACTTTTATTTCCTCACTTTGTATATTTAATATCAAAATTAAAAAGCATCTAATTTACTGATCTAGTTCTTCAAAAGGACCTGGGTCACCAATTTTGCTTTGTGATAATTTCTCTAAATTTCATGGAAAAAAATTATTGAGAAAGCAATCTCCTTTCTGGAAGTGATAACTTCCTGGCATTTCCAGGGGAAACGTTCTTATTATGTTTATTCACATACCATTGGATTTTCAGGAAACTTACTCTTTGCTTTATTTTTTCTCTTATCCAAATGCCAGAACTGTTTCTTTGCACATCTAAGGCTTAAAGTTGGTAATATCCTAATTTCTCCAACTAGTGGGGAAAAGACTGGTTTTACCAGCACATTTTGGGGGACCAAAACTTGATTAAGTAGGAATTATCTGGAAATTAAAATATTATGTTATTTGGAGGCAACTTAATGTAGTAGAACAGTGTCCCACCATCTGAGGATATGCCTTCTATTACACTGAAAGTAATTGTTCTTTGACCTTGTATGAGGCACCTAGCTTTTTGTGAAACCTAAATCAAAAAGCTGAAGAGACAGTGTTATGTAATGAAAAGAACATAAGCTTTACAATCAGCCTAACCTGGGTATAGATCCAAGATCTGTTTCCACTTAGGAGCTTTGTGCTTTCAGCAAGTTATTTCATTTTTCTGAGCCTCAGTTTCTTCTCAAGGTTGTTGTGAAGGTTAAGTGGATAGATGCGCGTAAAATGCCTAGCACACATCACACAATACATTCTGGGTTGTTTTAATTTCAAAGGAATACTGTTGGCTTAAATGAGGGAATAGTTTTAAAGAACTTTTAGCTCCTTGGCAGAAGTTTCTTTATACTCAGCTGTAGTTATCTTGGATGCTTTATAAATCATACTGTACACATGATATGCAATATTGTATCATATTATACCTCTATTAAAAATATGGATGTGAACTGGATTAACAAGTTTATAATTTGGGGCATCTAGGTGACTCAATCGGTTAAGCGTCTGCCTTTAGCTCAGGTCATGATCCCCGGGTCCTGGAATGGAGTCCCGCATCAGGCTCCCTGCTCAGTGGGGAGTCTGCTTCTCCCTCTCCCTCTGTCCTTCACCACTGCTCATGCTCTCTCCCTCTCTAGCTTTTGCTCTCTCTCAAATAAATAAATAAAATCTTAAAAAAGAAAGAGAAGTTTATAATTTCAAATGCAACAATAATCAATGCTTATGATGGTATTGGTATTTTAAAATAGTTATTTGTTTTAATCTTTGAAACTCTTTTTATGTGGGTTTTTAAATCACAAGGATACTAAGTGGCGGAGAAAGAATTCTCAGTTAGGATTCCAAGCCCAGTGTCCCTATCACCATGTCATGCAGCTTCTATAATGAGAAAACTGATAATCATTCTATTATTTGAGGTTGAGAATATAGTAGTTGCTTATCATTGCTCCCTTTGCTCCCTAAAAACATGCCCGCACAAGTCATCCTTAGAAGGTTCAACTTTCTTACCATTTTAAAAGATGAGATTTGGATAAGTTTGTTCATTCTAATATCTAATGGCATGACTACTACTTCCTTTAGAATGAGATTGTGCAAAAACGTTTTTCCCTGAGCACTTTGGAGAGATAAAACAGTGTTTACTTCTAGGCCAAACTGCTTTGTTAGAGGAGAAAGAAATAAGGGGAGCATTGAGAGAGAGTTTTAAAAGCTGGAGAGGAGGGAAAAACAGTAATTCTAAAATTCATGTAATACCTTACTGTTTCCATTGATCTTTTACAAATTCTTTCTTTTTTTTTTTTTAAAGATTTTATTTATTTTATTTGAGAGAGAGAGAATGAGAGAGAGCAAGCTCATGAGAGGGGGGAGGGTTAGAGGGAGAAGCAGACTCCCCGCCGGGCAGGGAGCCCGATGCGGGACTTGATCCCGGGACTCCAGGATCATGACCTGAGCTGAAGGCAGTCGCTCAACCAACTGAGCCACCCAGGCGCCCCACAAATTATTTCTTTTTTAAAAAAGATTTATTTATTTAATTTAGAGACACAGAGAGAGGTGACATGTGAGTGGGGGGAGCGGCAGAGGGAAAGAATCTTTAAGCAGACTCTCTGCTGAGCGCGGAGCCCAAAAAGGGGCTCCATCGATCCCAAGACCCATGAGATCGTAACTGAGCTGAAACCAAGAGTCAGATCCTTAAGCTACTGAGCCACCCAGGTGGCCCTATAAATTATTCCTGATTCTGCCCCCCCCCCCGACAGTTAGTGCCATTAAGTGATGTAGGCTAAACACTGTTCTGAAAATGGGTCGTAACTAGAGAGTAGTGGAAAAGTGCATTGGACTAGTAACTCATAGATCCAGGATGGGGGTCTGTAAACTACAGTCGTGAACCAAATCCAGCCCGCTGCCTGCTTTTGTAAATAAAGTGTCACTGGGACACAGGTGCACTCATGTGGTTACGTATCATCTGTGACTGCTTTTGCGCTGCTGTGGCAGAGCTGACTCGTTGCAACAGAGACTGTGTGGCCGGCAAACCTAAAATATTTACTGCCTGTCTCTTTAAGAAAAAGTTTGCCAACCCTGGTTTAGGGTTCCAACCCTGGTAGATATCGCCAGGTAACCATGTAGCTTTGGGAAAGTCACTTTACTTTTTTAAGCATTTATCTTTTAATTTGTGAAGTGGTGATAATAATCCATGTCCTGTTTCTCTCCTGTATAAAGTTGTTTTGTCTTAAGGATCAAACAAGAAAATGCATGTGTAAATTTTTACAATCTACACTTTCTAGATATACAATAAAAATAATACTAGAAACCATTTTTTGAGCATGTACTGTATGCTAGGTCACTTATGTTCAGTATCTCATTTAATTTTCAGAAAACTCCCTTGAGGAGAGCACTGTTATTTCCCCACTTTGAATATGAGAATCTTGATGTTTAGGGGGTATAGTTAACTTGTGTAAGCTTACACACTAAAGCTACCATTCAGTCCAGTTGAACAAATGTAATAAGCAAGTGCTTATTCCGTGAAACAGAATGACTTCATAATTACACAGTTGTTTTTCTTAGTAGAAAGGCTCTTGGTATTTAACACCCAAATATCCTAGAATGTTCTTATCTCTCAATTCAATGTGTTTTGGCTGATGGTTCTTTAAGAAAAATTTGTATTTATATCCCGGAAACTCAGTAATGCCATATACAACATTTTAAAGTAACATGTGGGAAGTCTTGTGTTAAATTCCAGATAAAATCGGTATAATTTCAGAATCCCATGTAAACAATCTGTAAATTGTACCACATGTCAACAAAGAGGATGTGCAGCATGTTACTGCATATAAGTCCCCTGGTAACAACCATGGAAATTGCTTTGGATCAGGAAGGGATGTTGTAAGCATTTTACATCCTAACATGGGAGTTTGCTCCTTATTTATAGGTGCTTTACTGTGTTTTAGTTACAGTCTAGAAAGTTGGTTAGTAGTTTTGGGTTGATATGTAATGAATTATAATTATTTTCATTTGAAATATTGGAAAATAGGTTCTTTGTTGGCATTTCATGTAGAATATATGATTTTCAATAATGGATGATTGATGTTAAGCAGGAGGGAGAAGATACCTGTATTATGATGATGATGATGATGATTATGATTACTATTACTTGATCTATATGGACTGTTTTCTCTGCATACCTGATGGGTTCTATTTCCTTAGTAGGTCTTTTTTTTGATAAGTAACATGTAATTTTATAATATCTGCATATAGTCAAAGTATGTTGATTTCTCACATCCTTTACCATTATCTTCTAATTAACATCTGGAAGGACCTTGCTTCCCCTGCAGCCCTTAAAAGTGATGTCTGTTTTCTCTCTCTCTCTCTCTCCCTCTCTCTCTCTCTCTCTCTCTCTCTCTCTCTCTCTCGTTCCTCTTATCTCTGGACCTGGAGCTGCAATAGATAATCTTCCTTGTTCCTGATTGCCACTGCAGAGTGCTCTCCCTTCTCCCTTTCTAAAAACCCTGCCTCCGAAGCTCATAGCAGCAGAGCATGCTGTTCTACCTCCATGTGGCTGTTCCCCTACCAGGAACTACCCCGATTTCTTTTTTTAAAGATTTTTATTTATTTATTGAGAGAGAGAGCATGAGAGGGAGGAGGGTCAGAGAGAGAAGCAGACCCCCTGCCGAGCAGGGAGCCCGATGCGGGACTCGATCCTGGGACTCAATCCTGGGACTCCAGGATCATGACCTGAGCCGAAGGCAGTCACTTAACCAACTGAGCCACCCAGGCGCCCCGCTACCCCTGATTTCTTATACACAGCTCACTGTTGTCTCTCCACCACGACAACTGTCAAAATCCTGGATGATTTCAGTATCTGTAGATGATCTCAATGGTTTGGCCTTTCAGTTTCTTGACCTCTCTTCCAATAAACCTTCCTCCTTGCTCCCACCAATCTTTATTTGTTTTATTTGCCCTATTTCTTGATTGTCTATGGCCCCAAAGATAGGTATATTAATTTTTTTGAGATAAATGCATAATCCTTTTCTATGGGTTGCTGCAGAGTAATACTTAATTTAAAAAATTTTAACAGTGTTATTTCAGAATGTCAGGCAATTTGTCAGAACAAACAGCACATCACTGAAATCCTTTAAAAACCTGGACTCAAAGGAAGTCTTTAGAAGGAAGGTTCAGGAGCTCTAAATCCAGCTGTAAACACTGCATTTCTCGCTACCAGAAAGGAAGTTAAATTGACACAAGACCAGAACAGAAATGGGAAGTTGCAGGACTGTGTACTTTGGCAAGAACATATGGGTAAACTATGAGGAAACACCTCTGTGTTCTGCTCTGCTATAAATTATATATGAGTTAAGGAAAAAGGAAATTGTAGGCAAGTAGTGTATGTGTA